AAAAAAAAAAAAAAAAAAGTGCTTCGATATCGTGTGGATTTCCTATTCTTTACCTGGCTCTGCTTCCAGCAGTGCTAACATTTGTCATTGCTGCCTTATGCAGTAGTTTTTCAAATTGAAGTTTCATTGCTAATTTTTTGGTGTGGGTAATACTGGAATCTTACTTAAAATACTTGGTTTTCTGCTTTTACAGTAGAGTCTCATTAATGTCTTCTGAATTTTAAGGTGCTGGATTAAGCCAAAGGGTTTGCGCTGAAGCAAATTAGTAGTATGTATGGAATGCTGAACTGAAAAGTTCCAATGCTCTCCTTAGAAAGCACCCATTTACCTGTTGACATGGTAGTTACCAGTCACTCTTCAATTGTATCACATGCTGACCATGAAGATGTATGTCTAAGGGGTTGTTGTACCTTTTTAATGAACTTCGTATACTTTTTGTCCTGGAAATATATACATTTGTATTTCGTGGAGAATTTAAATATTTTTTTTCCAGTAAGTTTATGTACGTTTCATGTCATCAAACTCATTTTGTCTTTAATGACTTTTTTTTTCGTCTTTTTTGAGACAGGGTTTCGCTGTGTGGTTCAGGCTAGCCTTGAACTCAAATTGTGTAGCCCAGACTGACTTGAACTTGCAACAGTCCTCCTGCCTCAACCGCCCAAGTGCTGGGATTGCAGGTGTTTTTGGTTTTATTTTTTGTTTTCTTAAGACAGGTTTCTTCTGTGTAGTTCAGGGTGGTCTTGAAGTCAGTGTGTAGCCCAGATTGGCCTCGAATTTGTGGCTGTCCTCCTGCCTTGAAGTGCTGATATTACAGGTGTGTGCCACCATGCCCGGCTCTGATGACTTTTAGTTAATGTGGTTTTACTGCATTTTTCTCTCATTGCATCTTGCTGTGTAGTTTGGTGTTTCCACTTTGGTTTTTGAGTTGTTGATTTTATTCACAAGTCCTTTTAAATCTCGTAAGCCCCGTTCTGTTTTGTGAAGACCCAAAGACTCCTGTAAAACTTTGTATGTTAAACAGTTGCATAAAACCAAGTTTCCTAAATACTTTGAAGTTGTCCTTCTATCTTAGAAAACAGGAGAGGAATTTTAAATCAAAAATTTTCTTCCTGTACTTTTCCCCCCCTTCGTATATTTTAAACTGCCAGATTACCTTATACTGTTTGTTTTATGATGTCTTAGGTTAAGAATTAAGTATTTTCATAAGCAGAAATCTTTCCTACATTCTCATTTTAATATTCTAAACTATTCCGCTGTAAACAGTTTTAGTTTTATGACTTTTTTTTTTTAATTACCCAGAGGTTATGTCCTCTTCTAGAATTTCATATTTGAGACACTGTTGCCTTGATCCTTGAAAGAAATTTGCCCTGGAACCATTGCTTTATTTGGTTGGAAATGCCATTGGTTTGGGGATAGACTTAAAATTTTCTGTGTTCACTGTTAGGGAGCCCAGTGTTTACCTTCTGGGCCATAGAGCCCAGCAGGGCTGCTGTTTCTTTCAGTGACCCTTTTAGAGACTGCTTTTTTTTTTTTTTTTTTTTTTTAACTTAAACTATAGGAAATCTCTTTTGTTATTGTTACAGAAGAATTGTTCTTTAGTTCATAACCATTTTTTCTGCATATTCGTTTTTGATTTTGTTTTGAAATATGGGCTCACTGTGTTGCCAGTCTGGTCTCAAACACTTGAACTCAGGTAATTAATTTTTTCTTTTTAGCCTTTCAAATGCTGTATGGTATGCCAGCCTACATGGCCACAGATTAGTTTTCCTTGTTTTTTTTTTTTTTTTCCTCAGTACTGTGGATTGAACCCAGGGCTTTAATGCTGAGCTACACTCCCAGCTTTTTTTTTTTTTTTGAGACAAGGTGTCAGTAAGTTGCCCAGAATGGGCTTAAACTTGCATTCCTTCTGCCTCAGCTTCCCACAGTGCTGGGGTTACAGGTGTGTACCACCACACCTCCCCAAGTTTTACCTGTCTTGATTTCACTAAAGCACAAGCTTCAGAATGTCTTGAGTGTGAAGATTTCTGTTTTGCTTTGTCATCTGTACTTTCAGCGCCTGGTTCAGTGTCAGGCACTCACTGAGTTGTGTTTCTGAAACCTGCCGCCTTGTGTTGTGTGCATGGAACAAAGCCATCAGGTACCAGACTCCCCTCGGTGTCATTGACACAAATTAAAGATTTTTCTTTTCTTAGGAAACAGACTTTATGTGGCTCTTCTCCAGCCCCTCAGCTCAGGGAATAATTCCTTTCAGAGTTGTCTGATTGCCTCAAACATACATTGCTATTGTTTTTTTATCCTAGGCAGCTTATATCCGTTGTTTGGTTTATTAGGAAAGTGAAGCCAAGACATACAGTGTATGCCAATAAAAATGTCTTCAACAGTAATGGAATTCACCTAGTGTTTCTTTCTGTAATTTGTGCGGGTTTTAAACCTCATAGACTTAAGAGACCAGATCTTGTTTCTCTGTGCTGCCAAGGAGATACAAACCCAAAGACGAGTCTTGCCTTATATTCATCTGGTATCAAATGAGGCCTTGGTGAAATACAGGACACCCTTCATCTCACGGAAATACCACAGTTTGACTACTCTGGCTCAGCCTGGAGGCTTCTTTGCTGGACAGCTTGTTCTCGCTCAGCAGAAGCAGCAGTCTGACCTTTGCATTGTCTTGCTCAAGCATCCAAGATGCTTGCACAGGGCCGGGGATGTAGCTCGGTGGAGCGCGTCTTCCTGACAAGTGGAAGGTCCCAAGTCCGATTCCCAATGGGAAAAAAACATCAGGACGCTCACACAGACCTCCATGGGGAACGGGCGTGTCATTTCTGCCCCTGTGGGTGCTTGCTGCAGTGTTGTCCATTTATTAACTGCTGTATTGTCACTGAGCTGAAAGGTAGTTCAGTACTTTTCTGTAGAATTACATTGGTTCTATCCTCCCAGGGATGGCAAGGAAGGGTGGTCAGACAAATTGGATGCTTGTCCCTTGCTCTTCCTTTTTTCTTAAATTCCTTAGACACCTTTCTCTTTCTTTTCATAGTCTTAAAGCCTGGATATGAAAGTGTAGAGGAGCAGACCCTAGGAGCTAGAGGTGTTCTTGGTTAACAGATGATGTGATTGTCAAGTTCGGTGATTATTTCCCATTGGCTCTCCAGTGTTTGGTTCCCATCCAGTTCCGTGCTCCTCTCCTCCAGTCCCTCCCATGTCTCCAGTCCACTTCCATACCTAGAATAGTTTCACTATTCCCCATTTGCCTCCACAGGGCTGCTGTTCCAGGAAATTACATAACGTTCAGTTGAGATGGAAATCTGGAGGATGAAGAGTATAATTACTCATTGGGTGGAAACGCCAAGTCCTACTTTATCCAGAATAGTTTTCTTAAACTGATATCATCAGTTCTCAAAGGAGCTGGGTGTTCAGTTTGTTCTGGGCTCTGTAGGCTGTCAGTGACCAATATTTGGGGGATACTGAAGCTGGCTCCCTAAGGCACATGTGGGAGCCCTTTTGAGGACTCCTTAAGGCAAGGCATCTTTAGTCAAGTCCTGGGGTTTGCTGGCTTTGTAGGACCCATGCCCTGGTAGGTTGCTGGGCTCCCATCCCAGTGGACATCCTAATGGAAGCACAGGGGGTGCTGAGAGGGACATGCCCTGGTCAGAGACAGTCACAACGCTGCTGTGTGTATCTCCAGTGGTGGCACAGAGGCTGAGGAAGCTAGATTTCCCTGTGAAGGACAGTGAAGAGCCCTGCACCTCGGGGCCTGACAAGAACCACTTTCTGAGACCTGGAATGGCTGGAGAGGACACAGGGAAGGTAAGAGCCACAGAAATCGGGCCAGTGCTGAGGGCAGCCAGTGTGGCCTGGTGTCATAGGAAGTGGTAGCAAGATGGCAGAGGTAACACTTTCTACTCTGTCCAGGGAAGACAGCTGGTTTTATGAGCTGGGAGAGTAAGCTTTTAAAGCCTCTTCTGTTTTGCTTCCTTTGTGCTGAGAATGCTTGATGGGGTGGGTCGGGGGTGTAGCTCAGTGGCATAAGCACTTGCCTGGCAAGCCTGAGGTCATGAGTTCGATTCCTGGTACCAAGATAAATACATACTTACGAACGTACATACATACATGCTTGGTGGGGTGGTAGTGGGGCCCGCTGTCCATAGCTCCATCCCTAAACCTGAGGTCTGTCAAGGCTCCTCTCTCCCCTGTCGGGCGCCCATGGAGAGGACTAAGGGGCTGATTATAGTGAAGAGTCACTTGTGGAAAGGGTTGTTTCCAGTTTGTGTCCTCTGAAAAAGTTATTTGCTACAGTCCCTGTTAGTCATTTCTTTCAGATAAAATTCTCGTCTGCAGTTCCTTGTGCCAATCAATATTTCATAAGCCCCATTTGATGCCACTGCATGAAAAGGGAATAAAAGTTCCAGTTCAGCGGAGTTGTTGGCCACGCCCCAAGGCCGTTCAGTAGAAGGGCATTTTATGACTTAGAAGTACATTCAGAATAGGAGCGCTGAGGGGATTGGTCGTCTGGTGTGGACATCAGGCTACATTCAGTTTATTGGGAAAAATTCGGCAGTCTCATGATGAACATTTGAACATAAAGTTTGTCTTTAGCCAGGCCGCAAGGTGCACACCTCTGTCTCGTCCCAACTACTGAGGAGGCACGAGGACCACAAGTTCAGAGTCAGCTTGGGCCTCCTAGACTCTGTCTCAAAAAGGCTGGCGATGGAGCAGCGCAGTGGTAGAGTATGTCTCCTGCTTGTGGAAAGCTCTCAGGTGCTGAGCCCCAGCGCTGTAAATAAAATCCCCAAAAAGCTGGGGAAGGTGGTGGACGCCTCTAATCGCAGCACTTGGGAGGCTGAGGCAGGAGTTGTTTTGAGTTCAGGGCCAGCCTGAACTGCATAGTAAACCCTGTCTCACAAAGACCAAAAAATAAATAAATAAATAAATAATAATAAATAAAATAAAATCCCAGAAAATAACTACTTGACTTTGCTGTTCTGCAGGCCTTCAGCAGATAGTCTTGTTAGCTTGGAGTGTCTTGGATTGCTGTGGTGCTGCGTGCTGTGGTCCTTGGGCCTGTGCTGCCCGGCGCCTGTGGCTCAGGTGGCCCCAGGCCTTCTACAGTGGTCGCAAAGCAGGAGGAAGTGCTAGGTGACCGCGGCTCACTACCTAAGTGGCCCCTGGACAGCCTTTGGGTCTTTTTGTCTACTTGCTAGAACTTGGCTCTAGGGAAAAGACGTGGCTGAAGGAGTGAGAACGACTATATTTTAGGCCTGAACCCCAGGCTTAGGGAAAAAAGCACTTACATTTTCCTGCAAATTCAGGAGCGTCTGGCCATGCCGTGAAGCTCACAGTATCTGCCTGATCTGAGTACTGATCAGAGGCGCCTGCCAGGGCTGACTCAGTCGGCCTGAACCACCTCGCAGGCCGAGGACAGCACTAGCTGCCCTTCCTTGAGCCTCAGTGACTCTAGCACCTTGATCAAGTCTCACTGAGTGGTCGCAAGCCGGGAAGTAGGTGTTGTCATCTCTGTCAGGTGGTCCTGAACCAGCCGTGGTAGGCCTCTGAGGCTGCGGTTAGTTCATTCATCCCAGAAAAATCCCCTGCCCAGTGACTCAGGGAGCCTTCCCTGTATTTGTTTCACTTAAGGAAAATGACCAGAGGGTGAGATGGAAAAGGGAACTGGCTGTTGCCAGGCAGAGCCCTGTGTGTGAAGGGCCAGCAGCCAAGTGAGTGATCCAGGAAGTCATCCAATTGCAAATCAGAAACTGTTCTTAACTCCTCACAGTCTGTGGTGCACAGCAAGCTCGTTCATCTGGTGGGGTGAGTGTGGAGAGCCTGGGAACTGTCCTCCATTCTTGGTCAGCCTCAAGGCCCCGGGGGAGCTGTGCAACACTCAGAGCTGTGCCTGCTGTTCGGTTTGGGGGAGCACACCCGAAGGGTGAGAGCAAGTTCTTGGCGAAGGAGCTTCCTTGGTGCCATGGAGGTGGACGCTGGAAGCCTGCGGAGCCTCCTGTGCGCTGGATGACACATGTCCCCCTCCTGCAGGGTCTGCCGGGGAGCGGGGAGCCCAGGGCCACTTCCCACACACTGCCACCCCAGGTCAGCCGAGTTATTCGGGAAGGTCGGCAGGGCGCTCTCCGACAGCAGAGCTGTTGACAGGCTTGTCAGGCAAGGGTTAACGGGATTTGTTTATTGAATCACCAAGTAGCTGTCACATGATTTTAATCAAAACACCATTTCCCTGACAACAGTGATGTCAGTCTTGTTATTGCAGGAAGGAGCAGCTGTGAGGGACATTCAGTCTCCATGCAGAGCCCAGGTTTGGAGACTCAAGTGAAGCATCCATAAATAATGGTTGTAGGCACGGCTTGCAGTCTGCGCTACTCTTTAAGTCTGCACAATCTGTCCAGTATAGACACTGACCGGAAGCCGGTCCCTACACCCAGTCTCAGCTAAGACGGCACCTTCTGCACCGCTTGCTCCATCCACCCTTAGTTCCACTGCTTTTTCTTCCTTTTTCCTCTCTTTACTGTATTCCCCCAGACTCAGTTACTTGGACCTGTGGGGGGTATGTGGGGCCTTCTGGCATCTTTGGGACCCAAATCTACTTGCTGGTGAATGGGGCATTCTGGCTAGCATGAGGTACATCTTTCTGCTGCTCAGGAATAGTGGGGAGTAGGCGTGCCTAAGGGTGTCGAGGTCAGTTCTGAGGAGCTCAGCTGTGGATCTCTGAAAGGAGGAGCACAAGGGTCTGCCTTGGCCAGAGGATTAATGCTCTTCAACCCAAGACTATAGGAGGCCTGAGTCCAGAGGACCAAAGCGTTGGGATACTTGATCCCATCTCTGGAGGCCCTCCAGCTAAGGGACTTGATCTCAAAGGCCACAAAGAGGTCAGAAGTAGGCTGGTCACAGGGTCAGCTGGAGCGGTTCCCTTGGATGCCAATCACTCGTGCATACTTTCTCACAGCTGGGGGGTTTGGAGACTGGGGCGCTATCTGCACAGAAGACTCCCAGGTGTCCTAACCCCTCTCCACTCAAGAGCTTGACCTGAAAATTTGGGTGCAAAAGGCCTTTCATATAGGACATAGAATCGCATGGAAAATCTTACGTTTGTTGTGTTTATGGCTGGTGCTGCCCAGAACTCATCTCTGAAAATTCAGAAATCCTGGAGCAAAGTTCTTAACCTGGAGCAGGCGTTCAGAATAAAGCAGCCACCTTTCAGTGTGTGAGGAGAGCATTCCCGGGCATAGTTTTTAGTCTAGTGTGAGGTGGACACCGTGCCACGGGGGGCTCTTGGGTCCTCCGGGCACTTACGTACTCGAGGGCAGCACATGCCAGGCTGTGTTGAGCCTTACCACAAACCTGGCAGTGTCAGCCAGTCAGTTTCCCGAGTCACTTGGAATGGGCCTTTACGGTGATTTGCCTGATGAGCGGCAGGGCTGGCGGTGTTACCCGGGCGGGAACCCTGCTCAGAGGTTCTGCGCTGCCTCCTGGCTGCCTTGGCAGGGAGCGGGTAGGCACCGCTGCCTGGAGTGCCTCGTGCCTTGCCGGCCGTGCGGCTGCCCTGCCTGCGCTGGGGCGCGAGGCCCTATTAGCTTGGCTTCTTGCCCAGCCTTCGTCCCTGGGACCCACCTGCCTGCTCTTTTGACCCTCACTTTGCTGGTACAAGGGCTCCTTGCCAAACAGAGCTTCTCTGGCGACCTCAGCAGTTCAGTGGTGCCGGACTGAAGAACGGTGATACTGAGCGTGGGGTCCTTTGCCTTGTGCACTGAGGAAAGACGCAGGGTTTCTCAGTTCAGTGGTGTCCTCCCCCTCACGTCTCGGTGGGCAGCCTGGGTCACAGTTCTCACTCGGGCCTTCTTTTGGGCTTCTCAGGCTCCATTATTCCATATTTGAGGAATGGCGAGGAGGAAGATTGAGTCAGAAACTTCAAAGCTCTCCGAGGAGAGATGACTCAGTTCTCCCTTCAGGAGGCTGCGTCCCTAATGCCTCACTTTCTTTGGGCCCAAGTTTTCTGGCCTTTCTGCCCCGCCAGCTCCGCTTGGCTCCCCGGGAAGTCCGCTCCTGATGTGCACCACCAGCTCCCCCTACCCCCACCCCCGCCACCTCTCAGGACCTTGCTTGTTTTACCCAGGCTTGGAAACTCTCCTTGCCAATGTCAGGCCTGTCGGATTCGTCACCCTTGGAAAGCCCCGTAGACACACAAAGGGGGGCATTGCCGCAGCCGAGGCATGAGCAGCTGTAGGTGCAGAGGAATCCAGCCTCCGTGGTGTGCTGGGTTATCACCAGCGGAAGTCTCCCTAGAAACAGCAGTGGCTGGGAACACAGCAAGCTCCCTATTCTGCCTGACCTCAGGCTTGTCCTGATTGGCAGTCCTACTTCATAACTGGTGGAGGTCGGTGTGCCAGTGATGGCTTCATGCCTCACGTGAGGGTCCAGCTCCTTCGGTTCAGTCAGGCCCACGTCTGTTTCCTCACGGACACTGCCCTGTGTATTCTGCGCACGGTATTCCGTCCTTCCATAGCTCCTGAGCCTTTAGCTCAGGAGCCAAAGTGAGAGAGCAGAGCTGTGTTGTCATCAGCCCCAGGGTGGGGCAGCTGTGGTCTGCGCAGGTAACATTTCCTTTTGTTTTGTTTTGTTTTTTTCACCTGGTACCAGGAATCGAACTCACGAGCTTGCGCTTGCCAGGCAGGCGCTTTGCTGCTGAGCTAGATCCCCAGCCCCCAGGTAACATTTCCTTTATCACACTCGAGAGTGCACAAAGCCCAGGACTGCCTCCATGGTGTTGGGCTCCTCTACCTGGATCCACCAGGGGAGAGATGAGAACTCCCTGTACACAGAAGGGTCCCTGTAAGACCTGAAACTCCAAAGCGTGAAGGCTAAGTCAGGAGCTCTTCACCTCTGTCCCTGGGTGGCCGCTGGGATGCAGGAACCCACCCTTTTCTGGAGACTGTGCTCATGTATGTCTGTGAGGGGGTGGGAAGAGTCTAGAGGTGTTTCAGCACATCCGACGGACCTGTGATCGCAAACGAGGGCTGCAGAGGAGGCGGGAGCAGCTCACCAAGAGCACAGCTTCGGTGCGTTCACCCGGGGCCTGGCTCACTGACGGACACTAGAAGCGTGGGCATTGCGGGCTCCTTCTGTTCCTGACCCCTCCCAGCCCCCAGAGCTCTCGCTCTCGAAGGCCACAGAAGTGAAGGATGTGCCGAGAAGCGTGTTAGGACCCGACTGGCTGCTGAGCTGCCAGCTGGTGCCCACCGGCAAGTCTGTTATGTTGCCTCTACGCTGACCCACTGGGGTGGATTTTGGCAACATATGTAAAATGATGGCGAGATTTGGGGGGAAGACTGAAGTTTGTAAACATAGTTAATGGGGGAAAAAAGAAGGCACCTCAGTGCTAATGAATTCTCAAGTAGCCCTGGGTTCGGGCCGCACGGCAGCAGAACAGGCGCCGTGAGTGACGCTGCAGTGCTGCAGTTCAGAATCGCAAGCAGCTCCTCTCCCAGCCTGGCACAGCCAGCCCAGATGCAGCCTGCGGGAGCGCTCCAGGCCCACGCGTGGCCAGTTTCTTAGCTTGGGCAGTCTCAGTTCCGTAGCACAGGCTGGTGGGAATGGTCTGAGCAAAACTAAATCTCAGTAGAACTCGCTGCCAGGAAGTAGGATTTAATCCTGCCCTTATACTCGGGGTCTGGCACTACCACGAGTCCAGAATGAATAACAGCTTGGCAAACAGATTCCCCAGCACCCTGAGGGCTTTGGAGTTGGGTCTCAAAGGATGCCTGTCCCTGTGAGGAGTCCATGGTGTGTGTGTGTCTTGGTCTCGTGTGCGCACGCATCCAGTGTCTTTGGCAGACCCCAGAGAAGAGGTGACATCCTAAGTGGCAGTGTCGTTAGCTGGCCTTTCTGACAGCTAGAGCAACTCCTATCCCTGTCTCACCCTGGCCTGCAGCTTGCCTATTTTGGGGGAGCTGGACGTGATTCCTGCACAGCTTGCCTTCCTCCTGCTGTGGCACAAGGCCCCTGCCCAAACTACCTAGGCTGATGGGCTTTGCCCTGAGACTCTTAAGACCAAGGAGCATTAATTAAGCCCAGTGGGGCTCTATCCCTGTGCAGGCTGCGGTCAGCAGTGCTTCCGTCAGCGATCTGCAGCGGCTAACATGTACTCAGGTGATTCACAGCAAGGTATTATTTACCCTGCTGACGTCAATGAGAACATATTATCCACTGTCCTTTTCTGCTGCCTGAAATGAGCACCAGAGCTCAGAGAACACAGCCACCTTCCACATTTTAAAAATTCTATCCAGGGCCCAATGAGGTGGAGGCTCTGTCTCTTTAGCCTGACATTCATATCACCCAGACTTTTAGAAAACAAGTTGTTTTTATTTTAATTCAAGAGGGTTGGAAACATAAAAACAGTACATTTTCCTTGCAGAAAATTACCCCGTTTAAATTACCATTTGGTACAAAGATCATTTATTAAATTGCATTTTAGGCAATTTTCTAACATTGACAGGTTACACTTTGATTTTTTTTTTCCACATTGGAGCTATTATGATTTGCACTCAAAATACCAAAGCTATTGAACTCACCATTTTTTTCTTAGTAATTAAAAAAAAGCACACAGAAAAATAACTACAATTAATCTTATCAAAAGTAACTCACAGACCAAACATCCAGCAAGACCACTCTTCTCCCTTTAGAAATAAGCAAATAATCTTGCCCTTTCTACAAAGTGCAAATATCTCTGTCACTTTTTACTTCTCAAATTGCAGTCCCCAAAGAGAAGCCAGTCTCCTCTGCTTCCTTCCCCTCCAGAGATTTTGGTGAAGGCAGATTTACCATCAGTAATCAAGCTTACCCCTTGAATTTCTTTGAGCGAATCTTGGACAGATAGGCATCACTGCCAGCAGCAAGTCCCAATCATCTGTATTTGTTAATGTAACATTATTCCATCTGGGGTCATATTTTTCCAGGATGTTGTTTTGTGCTTCTATTTTTATCCCCCTCCCACCCTTCCGCCTACCCCCTTTGACTCTTAGAAGACAAAGCATTCAATAAAAGCATGTTAACTATTTTTTCTTTAATCCTAAACGTGTCTACTAAGCACTCCTGCTTGCTGGGACTTCACTGTAAGGAAATGTTATGCCCCGCCCCCCAGGATCAAGGCTGGGTCTGTGATTGATCTCTGAGCAGCCCCCTTCCTTGGGGTTGAATTTGTGGACTGACACTGGTGGCTGATGCTGGACTGTTCTGCCTCTTGGTGATCAAGGAGGATGCGTCTCTCCACCATACACCGCCCAAGGAAATGAGTGTAGTGCTTGGAAAATGTGGGCACCTTTAATGAGCCTAGACCGTGGCCGTTCACTGAGCACTGCCAGTCTGGAGTCGGGCCTCAGCCTTGGCCAGTGCAGGCTGCCTGGAAGGCTGCTGCTGAGACGGCGTCACGCTTACCCAGTGCTTGGCCGCCGTGGAGGCTTTCTTCCATCGCTGTTTGCCTAGAAGTGTCAGGTGCTACTGAGAGGAAAGAGGCTTCTCACAGCCTTAGAAACCAGTCAGCCCTAGTGTGTGGCCTGTGAGCTCTGTGACCTCAGATATGTCACCTATGCAATCCAAGAGCTTTGGTTTCCTCAGCTGTGAAAACCAAGGACCGCCCCCGCCTTCACAGACTTGCTGTGAGGCTGATAGGAGATTACTTGTGAAAGTGCCTGGCGAGTTAATGTAAAAGCAGAAGTTGCACTCCTTGTGGACGGGCAAGCTGAACAGTATTCGGGCAGGAACCCTCAAAACTATCACGGGCTGAGCCTGGGCAGCACCGCTGCCTGGCTCTCGGTCTGCAGTACTGCGTGCCTAAGTCTACCGGATGTGCTGAAATCTGCCTGCAAAGATGTGGAAGCGGATGGCGGCTCAACTAGGACGGCTGGGTGTCTTTACAGTGAGCCAGACCGCCTTAACTGGGGAAAAGTGATGAAGCTGTGAGGGGTACTGGGAAGTCAAGTGCAGGGGCAGTTGGTTCTGCCATCTCCAAGGGCAGTGGAAAGAGCTCTGTGTAAAAGGGATATATAAATTTTAAAGAATGTCTCTTGTCCAGTTTAGAAGCACAGACAGATGATACTGCTCTTGTTTTCCACAACTTTCTGAAGACAATCCCTGTAAAAAGTTTCCAGAAACAAAATAAGCAAAGCTCCCTGCCTGAACAGTGACTCCAACTCATTACCTTCTCCAGTTTTTACCTTCGATGTCTAGGCACAAAGAGACCGAGCGCCTTGGGTGGCTTCTGAGGAGACAGTAGAGGCAGCCCAGCCTCGGGGCACAAATCCAGCCCAGGTCAGTCCCAGCCGGAGGCCCCCCATGTCCCGGGACCGGTGCTGTCCGGTGGTCCTAGGACTTGTCTCTGGAGCAGTGACCTGTATATGAATTTTCTGTAACCCAGTGGGGAGCTTACGTGTCACTGTGGACACAGGTTTAATCCAGAGCAGAAAGGTTCTGATCACGTGTGTCCGGTAACGGGCCCTGCCCCGTGGGTGCAGAACCCGCACGGGAGGCACCTTGCCCCTGCCTCCCGTGCTGCACATCACATCACAGGCCGCTCCCACACGCGCACTGCTGGGACTCGGCCCGTCACCGGGAGCTGCTGCTTCCCGCCAGCTTTCGGATTCCGCCCCGTCACCTCGTCACTCTCCAGCTCAGACTTAGGGGTCCTTTCCCGGTTCTCACAGCCAGGCAGAGGGCCTCCTGAGCGTCCCTGCCTTAGGTACAGTGACCCCCCCAGTGCAGGGCAGGAGAGAGGCCACCAGGGTGCAGTTTAAACTCTTGGGAGTTCTTGATTTCTGAGGAGGCATTTTCTAGGAGGTACAATCTGACCAGGGAAGCTGTGCTCTGGTCAGCTCTACCAGCCCTTCAGTCCCAGCTCCGGTCCTCCTGGTGGGCCCTCTTGCTTCCCACTCAGGGTTCTGGAGGGCTGCTGGTGTGGGGACCGTCCACCGCCCTGTTCCCAAGGTGGCAAAAGGGCAGTACTCAGGGTAAAGGTGGGGTTGGAGCAGCTCTTGGGAAGGAACGCTGTGCTAAGTGCTTTATTTGCCTTACAGGGACCAGCATTTCAGTTGCGTGTCAATACTGGAGGCACATTTGCCCGGCTGGAAACTGCAGAACTAGTGCATTCCCCACAGCAAAGACCAACACCCCTGGATTAAAAAAAAAAAGCAAACATAAAAAATAAAAAAGTACCACACATATTGCACTTTTAGCCAAATGAAATTTTTACCTCATGTTCATCTCACCAAAGTCTCTTCAGAGGAGCCTAGCTGACAAGGTAATAAAGCTAATGATGATCATTCAGTAGTGTACACACTGCTGATATGGGAGAGACGGGCGAGTCAGTCAGTATTTTAAAGTAGCCTCTCACCAAAAGAGTGGTCCTAAGTTTTCTTAGTGTCACGTTAGCATTTGTGAAAACTGCTCAGAAGTCTCCAAGGGCCTCTCGTTAGTGAACGGAGCAACGGAGGCACACAGCAGACACCTGTCTGATCGAAGGAATCGGTCCTGCTCACCAGCATACACTTCCGGAAACACACACGGCTACGGAATTTATTGGTTTCTGCTTAAGTGAGAGAAGCAAACGGGAGCTTACAACAGAGGTTCCAGCCGGAAGGGTCGTCCTCTTCGCCAGGGGACGATCCACACCACGCTGTCCGGGATTCCCACCTCCTCTCTGGGGCCTCTGGCCTTCCAACAGCCTCTCCATCGTCCCTCACCTGTGGCCTGACTCCCGCCACCGCGCCTGTTCAGGTCTCCTGGGCTAGGCGCTCGTGGCCCTGCTTGGGGGGCAGGAGTTTCTGCCAGTCTGTCTCTGCCATTCCTCCAGTCCTGAAATGAATGGCCCCATTTTCAATCTAGAAGGTATTTTAACTTCAGCAACATTACAGCGCTTCTGTAGCATATTTTAGGAAAACATCCTCCTTCAGTCTAAACAAATCAAACCTTGTTTTATAACTGGCTTCTTTTGCAGAGACTTACAGATCTTAATGAAATGATCTCTTACATGATGTTTTTTCTATTTGAAAAAAATCATCCATCTTACGCACGAGGAGGAATAAGTGATCCATAAAAGGAATATAATTCATTCTTCCTGGATTTCCACTGTGTTATTAAATCACAACAATGATGCCCCCCACGACCCTTCCCTGCTGACACCCAGAGCCCGACTCCAAGCAGAGCCTCTGGGAAGCAGCCTGGCACGCACGGGAGGGGAGCCCAACGCCGAGGCAGCCTGGCCAGCCGCAAGCACTGCTCAAGCCCCGGCACTGGCAGGGCCTGGCCGGCTCTCAGACGTCCCCGCGTCCCTCGCCCGCTTGGGTGCCTGCCGGCTAAAGGGGAAAGGCAACTGAGAGGTGTCTAGACGCAGCATCAGTGTGGTTGCTCTCTTCTTTGTGCTTTAAGGAAGACACTTTGTGCTTAACGCATTCATCTGCTGATGGGACAAGCCACGCTAGAGGACAGAAATTAGTTTTTATAAATAATACTGCACTCGTAACACCTGCGTGTCACTGTCCCCAGAACAGTTACTCGTTACTTCTAGGTTCACGGTTAATTAGCCATAGCATCTGTTTTTCACTTACTTTGACAAATGAATTTTAGGGTTTTTTTCTAGTAATATAACAAACATGTTTGGCAGACGACCTGCTTACACGGTTAACACACCTGTGGTTCTCTCAATATTGCTATTAATACTTGAACATTTCATCCTAAGTCAGAACTGGAAGGAAATTAAGAATGCTGATTCCCACGTGGTGGAAAACAAACTGAAGTGACTTTGGATTTAGCACTGACATAAACGGAGAGCTGCTGGGTTTCCACAGAAAAGGAAGAATTACAGCGCCACGGGGGCAGGGGAAGGCACAGCACTACCGCTTCACGGGAGACACAGAAGTTCATTTCTGGGTCCTTAAAATTTCTAAGCCCTCTATGGAACTGGTCAAATACACAAAGCTCAGTAAACTGCTAGCAACGTGCAGTATGAAGGCAGAGGAGCTCCTACACGGGAGGGGGGCCAGGAGGCAGCCCCCGGAGACGGGCCGCCCCGCCCAGGCTCCGGCGCGGGAGGAGCACTGCCGGCCCAGTGTCCCGCCCCAGCCGCCACTGCGGTGGGTCTCCTGTCACAGCTACAGGTGACATCTTTGGCGCCCTGAGCACGTTCCCGGGCACCCGTGAAGAGGTGTCACCTGCCCCCAGAGAGGAAGCGGGTCTCGGGCGAGTACCAGCTGTTACCTAGTGGCCTCTGAAACAGCTCATGCTCTGCAGCTTTGTGACAGTCTCAAGGACAACCGGCATCAGCGGCACAGAACTCATGATTCAAAGACAAAGTACAACTTTATTTCCTGTGCATTAAATTTCATTACGTATTCCTGACTTGCCTTGAAGCAGTGCTGCTAATTTGCTTCAGTGAAAATACACTGCCTTTTTGTTTCTGCCGTGCATACATATCCGTACGCAGGGGCACACATCTGCCCGGCCCGCACCAAGCGCTCTCAGCAATGAGATGCTGTAATTCTACATTAACCTAGGTCTGGGTGTTGTCTTATAAAAACATTTGTTTCTGCCTCCCTGGAGAGCTCGCTCAGGTTGACCTAAGGGCAGGAGCTTCAGCCTGCAACTGTGTTCCAGCACTCCCTGCAGGAAACTCTGAGTGGGGCAGAGCCAGGAGGAGGAAGCACATCCACCCGGCGAGGCCCTCTGATTCCAGTTGGGTGACTCGATTTTTCCCCATTGGGGAGAAAGCAAGAAAACAGGCTTTAAGTTTAAAAGGCTGGAATACAAGTGGAAATATAGTCTGCCTTCCCTAGATTCACCTCCCTTCCTGTGCTGAGATTAATTCACCAGGACATACCCATTGTGTTGTGGATCCACAGCGTCTAGCATTTCACAATCAAAGAGTCCTGGTAACTCGGGGAGGGCTAGCGGGTCATAGCTGGAGGGGGCCTCCTGCAGTCCTGAGCTCCTGGCACAGTCCGGGCCTGTGAGACTGCTCTGCTGGGCTCCATCCACAGGGTACGGGCAGGGAGCGGGATAGTCTGGTGCAGAGGAAGCGGCACCTGGCAGCTCGCAAGTCTGATAGGAGAACTGTACGGGCGCGGGAGCAGCTCCTGGCTGTCGTGGTGGCGGCGGAGGGGGTGGGGGTGGAGGCTGCTGCTGCAGCTGTGTGGGCAGGGGAGGCGGTGCCCGGGGGCTGGGTGTGGAGGGCAGGGGCTGCAGCTGCATCTCCTCGTACTGGCTGAGGAAAGGGCTGTACTGCATCTGCTCGGGAGAAGGCTCGAGGACGGGGCTCAGGGGCTGGGGCAGGCCGAATGGCGGGGGCTGCTGAGACGAAGGTGGAGTCTCCTGGTGGGGAAGGGGCAGCTGCTGACTCGGTGCAGGATAGGAGCTCTCAGCTATCTGCATCTGATTGAAATACGCCTGCAGCTGGGACTGCTTCTGCAGGAAGAGTCGCTTCTGCTGGAGCCTACATTGGCAATACCAAAGGAGAACGTTGTAAATCTCAAGTAATGACAGTTTGAATGTAAATCCAATACCAGGTACCAGCTCCAGGCTGCCACGTCTCTCTTGCCCCTACCAGGTGTTGTGTTTCTGCAACCTAATTTCACTTTTGCCCTCTAACTCTCACTGACCCCTCCGTGCCGGGTGAGCACGAACGCGTTCTCTCTGCATTGCTGAGTCTGTCTCCCTGCCAAGGGAGAGGCTGACTTCTCGTCTGGTTTGGTCAGAGGGGCAATAATGCCTTGGCCTCCGTGGGGGTCTGCAGCGTGATGGATCAGGGTAAGTCTGCCTCGGCCCAGCTGTTTCAGTGAGGCTTGTGGGCACGGACAGGAGCAAGCAGGAGGCCTTCTGAGCAGTCTAGCCCACGTCATCTGCTCCCGGCCTGGCCAGTGACTTTCAAGGCTTAGGTCTTGTCATATCCCAGAGGACTAAGTGCAGGAAGAGAAGGAAGAAGCACATTTGGGGGCTGCTGTTGCCTGACATTCCGTCCTGCACGGATGCTGCAAGAGCCTCATTAGCAATCATGCTGGAAAACTTCAAATATTACGGCACATTCCCTACGTTCCCAGCTGAGGCAAACGCGAACGGGAGAGGACAACACACCCAGTGTTCTGAAGGGCTCGGTGAACGTAAGCAGCTCCACTGGCAGAGGACCCTTCTCACCTGTGTTCCTGCAGCTGCTGTTCCAGGCTCCGGGGCGGCTCTTTACAGTAAAGCGGACAGGTGTTCTGGGCCTTGGACAGAAGGCTAGGTTTCTGGAAGAGCAGAGCAATGATACCAACATAGTAAAATGTGTTGCCCACGCTCCCGTCTGAAGGGTGAATCCAGGGGTGGTCTCCAGAATCCACAAAGGGAGAAGTGACTGGAATTTCTCACCAAGACCCAGGAAGGACATCAGGTTAGCCGTCTAGGACAGCCTCAGTTCTGATCTACTTCTTTCTACCTCTAAAAGCCCTCTGGGACTGTGAGGTGAGAAAACCAGGCTTAAATCTTAATAGTGCTGGCCTCAGCGCATGCTCCAAGAATGGTTTATTCTCAATACTGCGCTGTGTCATTTCTCAAGATGCTCCTGCACTGCTGTAGATAGCTCAAGGTAACATTTTGCAGACTTAAGATTTTCATTTTCTTCACTTAAGAAGGATAAAGTTGGGCCCAAGGAAGCCAGGTCCCCCTTTCCTGCCCCTCTGTGGCATACCCTTCCCGAGGCCCACGGACCAGCCCTTCCCCAGTGCCAACGCGGAGCATAAAGTTGGTTCTGAACATATTTTGAGAAGTAAGTACAGAGTCAGATGACCTTGTCTAGAGAAGTAAAGCACTGCCCTAAGGAAACGCCATGAGACACAGCCTTCTGCTGGGAGCGGGGGAGATTCTGGATGGGCAAAGCGAGCTGGACGCACAGGAAGGGCCCTACCTGCAGCCTATGGGGCAGGTACTGAGCGTCCAGGCTTTGCCGCTGGGACAGCTGAGGATGCACGCTGCCGGAGAGGGTGGAGACACCTTCCTGCGCCTGAGGGACTTCCTCCTGAGGAGCAAGGGAGCAAAAACAATTTTCCAATTCTCCATGTGAGAAAGTTTCAATTCTTAGTCAGTTTAAGCTCCTTTGCTAATGACCAAGAGCAATGTCAACTCTATAGGACATAATATTAAGAGTTTTTACATAATTAGCAGAGGAAAGGTTAACTACTCTGTGGAGAATTTATACATGCATTATCTGGAGTCAACAGTTACCCAGAGTCAAGATCAGAAGGAAGGTTTGTGGTGTTACCAGGCCGGCCCCTTCATGTGAGCTTTGAATAGTATAAATCTCCTCGAAGCATGGAAAAGTCTCAACACTGATTGGCTAAACAGCAATGTTTATTGTATTTTTGCTATGAACAATCCACGTAATATTTAATAAAGTGATGCACATCAAAAGTGGGGTGAGGATGCTTCTCATGGGGGCGGGGCACCCACACAGTGGGCCCCGCGAGCCGACACTGGCTTGCACGTGTCTAAGCCTCCCGCTCGTACTGCGTGGGAGAGGTGTGGCCGGCCCGAGGGTCAGGACAGCGACAAGGGAAGCTTTCGGCTGTGGACCTTCCCAAAGCATGTGCTTGTCCAGGCCCGGAGGAAGTCCTCCAAGTGCAAAGCACTTGCTCTCTAGAGAAACTCACGCTTCACGCTCACAGAGCCACGCAGGAGGGCCCGGTGCACCCACCTGAGGGCAGCTGCTGGCGAGGTCTTGGAGCTGAGGGGAAGCGGACGCCAAGGCAGGGTCAGCTTCTGAGCCTATCTGTTCATACAGCAACTGCACTTTGTTCAACTCCAGAATGCCTTTGGTTCTAGCAAGATTCTGAAGATGCTGTCTAAATGCTACAATTCCTGAGAGGAAGTACAAAGGCCAGAGAGTAAGTACGACACGAGGGTTCAGTGATCACAGGTCCCCACCAACACGGCCACAAGCCCTTCCTCCTCCGCCCTCCCCCCGCCACGACATGAGAGTTTTAAAAGAGAGAGGAGAGCGCTTTTACCTTGGGTGAGGGAGGTATCTGACGCCCTGCGGCCTTCTCTGAAGCTCACTGGGGACCTGTTGTGCACCTCTCGCTTCTGGGAGCTCAGGGCCTGCATGGCTGGGTTGGCAGGTCTCAGGCTTACGAAGGGTGACGTCATGCGGGGCGAGGGCTGATTGGCCAACAAGATGTCCTTCAGGGAAGGGTTGTCCTCCAGGAAGTTCAGTTCCCTCTGAGCAGACCCCATGTCATACTCAGAGTCCACACTGTCGAGGGAGGGGTTGTCACTCATGGAGAAAATCTTCCCTGTAAGAGAAAACAAAACAGTGACCGCATCACCTTTGAACACAGGATACAAAGTAGAATGAACTACACTCTTGGTAACAGTGGTGCCCTTCATGTGCAGTTACAGCATCCTTTCAGGCGATGCACACCTGCAGTCCCAGCTACGTGAGCGGCTGAGGAAGGACTGCTCAAGCCCAGAGTTCAGACCAGCCTGGACAGTGCAGTGATATTCCGTCCCGACCGACCTCCCGCAAAGCCCCAAATCAAACACCTCATTTTCAGCGCTGGAGAAGTAGCTCAGTAGCAGAGAGCCTGCCTAGCATGTGCGAGGCCCTGGGTTCAATCCCTAACACAGGGAAAAACCAGAACCAGAATTACCTTCCCCCCCGCCTCAAAAAAAACACCACCGTTATCACATCCTTTTCCAGGTCAATTTAATACTCTTCAGTAGCAGTGGGGAAAACCCTCCAGAAACTGCACCCATGAGATGCAGTTTTTGGCTGTTTTGCTCCAAAAAAGCCAGAGCCTCCAAGGAAGCACGCTGCATCACAATGAATCCCCCCGACCGCCAGGGCGGGAGGAGGGGGCTGACTCAGAGACTTCATTTTCATCTCTGTTAGCCTGTTCAGTAAGATACAGACTGAATTCCAGGAACTGGTCAGTATCACCACTACGTCGTAGTCACTAGGGCATGAGATGATGCTGTCAAGAGTTTTTTAAAAGACAGGGTCTTGCTATGCAGTTCGGGCTGGCCTTGAACTCACTGTGTAGCCCAGGCTGGCCTTGAACTCACGGTGATTCTCCTGCCTCAGCCTCCCGAGTGCTGGGATTACAGGCGTGTGCCGCCACTCCTGGCTGATGCTGTGAAGAGTTAACCTGGCACCTCACCGATACCATACCTGCTCCTGGCACCACGACCAGCTGGTTGGTCACTTCTGACAGAGTGTGCCTTCTCTGCCCACTGCGTGTGGACTGGAAAGCCTCGAAGGCGTGACCGGCGTCGTCCTCCGCTTCTCCTTCCGTCTCCAGCCCTTCGTCGATGGAGGTCTCCATCACGTTGCTGGGCAGTGACTGGCATCCCTTCCTCACCAGGACAGGAGGCACCGGGTCAAGCAGACAGCCGTTGACCTGAAATGGCCCGGGTGTGAGATGACGCAGGGAGCTGCTGCTCTGCTAAGACGTTAGAAAAGCCCACCAAGCGTAAACCCCAGGACTTGTGGGAAATTAAAATTAAGTTCAGTACTGAAGATGTACATCTTCCTGTCTAATGGCAGCACACAGAAGCCAAGTGGGCTGCAGTCCTAGGAGACACGGCCCGTCAGGGCGCACGCGGCACTGCCACCCAGCTCGCCATGCGTCATCGCTACTACAATGGCATGTTTGGTGGTTAGCGGATGAACAGCGGTACGTGAGCTTGAGGCCTACCAGGTATTTTTTTTTTAAATAAGAGGAACGAAGACGGGGTAGGATGAAACTTTTTTTCTGCTTAAGGACATGGCTCATAGCTAAGAGCAAAGAGTAGTCACAGAATTCTTGAAATTTTCAACCGCAAAGCATACCAGAAGCTTCTAGACATACTTTTATGTTTATAATTTAAGTACTTGCCCATTTGATTTAGTCTTCAGTAGGCTTTGTGTGCGCTGAGGAATGGAAATTAAGAATTCTTCAAAGATGGACTGATACAAGAAGAGTTAAAAAAAATTCAAATGGCAAACAGCCAAAGCCTTCCACTATAGCATAACAAATGACTCACTGGGCCCAGATTCCAGCAGAGGTTAACAAGCCCCAGCGCGGCATTCCCTCTGCCCCAGCGCGCACATCAGCTACGGTTCCCGCCCACAGCGGTGAGCTCAGCACAGCTCCTGCGTGAGCACGGCCTGCGCAGGCCGCTGCCAAGCAAACCAACCGCCTAATGGCAGGCGGAACGCCACACAAAGGGAGTTGTGGTTTCGAGTTCTTCTGGCTGGTAAAAACTCCAAAGAGGAGGCAATTATTTAGCTCATTACCTTAACCATTCCCCCGGGGAAATCAATCCGTTTTCTCCCATGAATAGCTGCTCAGGAACAGCCAGCCTAGTACGCTCAGTTCTCAGCAGTGCGTTCACCTGAAATGCACTGCGAGGGCTATTGTTTCCTTTGGAAGCGGGAGCAGCTCATGTATGTGAGAGGTGACGTGGGACGCCCCGTGCCAGGCACAGGGGACTTTCCTCTCATGGCAAGCATCCCAACGCATGCAAGGCTCTTTATCTGGAGAGGGAAAGTTGGGTGACTCACATCTCTGTTTGCTCGGGGGCGGGGGTGCTCATTCTGTAAGAACTGTTCTGGGGCCCGAGCCATGACGCGGACAAGGCGGCTGATGCGCGGCAGGCCTTACAGCGAGGAGCAGCCACCGCCAAGAAGACTGGTGCGCGCCTTCCTTGCTGAAGAGAACCAGGCTGCCCCCATAGCACCAGAACACAAAAAACCGCAGCCGGGTGTGGTGGCGCCCACCTATAACTGCAGAAACTGGAGGCTGAGGCAGTAGGGTCACCGTGAGTGTGAGGCCAGCCTACACGACATAGTCAGTTCAAGGCCAGCCTGAACCAGAGTGAGACCCTGTCTCAAAAACCCAAAAATCCTGGCCACTGACTTGCACTTTCTCCTTAGTCCTTCCACGATAAATTCTGCCCTTCTGATATAGGAGACAGGGCATGGCAAAGCCGGCTGGAAGGGTAAGCGGGACCTGCCAATTACAAGACCCCAGGAAGATGTCAAATAACTCCCAGAGCCGTGTATGTGAGACATCTCGTGGGCTCCCATGAGATGTGGACGGCATGAAGGAGGCAGAGGCCCTGCGGAGCCCGCCACAGTGACTCCTCAAGGCAGCAGAGGGCCTGTCACCCCTCCGCCCTCTCTCGGCCCAAGTTCCTCTGCGGAGCGAGTTCTTCCCTCACCCCTTCACCCCTCACTTCAAATAAACGTTTGGTGCCGTCTCTGGCTGCTTTTGTCTAGTTTTTTGTTCTAGGCAAGAAGGACCCGACATACTTTTAACTGTCGAGCCATTTCTAAAGGAGCTACCCGACAACACTTTGACTGTACTTACTCAGTTTTTTTGCTGGAAAAATGGCTCAGAACTTATACTTCTAGGCTCCTCAACTATTACTACAACTTTCTAAAGACTAGGCAACGACAGTTTAGAAATGAATAAGCCAACAGAGAAAAGGATATTATGTACTAAGTATCTTCACAGCCTCCATCCAAACTTTAACAGATATTACAGATATTTCTTGTGGTGTAAACCACTATGCTAGTTCTTTTCGCCTTAAGAGGAAAACTACTTTCTCCGAATCACTGAAGACACAATGTCAGTCCCTCTGAATTTACCACTTACTTAAATTGTCACCTTATAAATTTAAGTCCTCATCCATCCTAGAAGAGATATTCTGTCTTTCATTTAAAAATGTTTGCTGGCCAGGCGTGGTGGCACATGCCTGTAATCCCAGCACTTGGGAGGCTGAGGCAGGAGGATCATTGTGAGTTCAAGGCCAGCCTGCACTACAGAGTGAGACCCTGTCTCAAAAAAAAAAAAAAAAAAAAAGAAAAAATGTTAAATGAATTCAATGTCATCCCGGTACAACAATGATCTGATTTTTTTCATTGATCTAACTTTTCTCCTGGGACAGCTAGAAGCCAATGCTATGTTTGATGATGAATAAGAAATCCCCCTGGGCTGGTCCCATGAACAGGTGAGAACACCTTCAGCCCTGAGTGAAGGTTTCCAGAGGCAGCCGGTCATCATTCCAGCTTCGTCGGTGAATTTACCCGGACACTTGCTGTAACAGGAGGCTACACTCAGCTCTGGGAGTTTACGACTGAAATACTGGGCTGATCTAGCTAGAGAGGTGTGACCTAAGCTGCCAGAAATAGGATCTTTTTGCTCTAGGAAATAAGCTAGGTTAATAAAAATTATATAATTTAAAAATACAATATAGGTGAAATGCAGTTTCAAATACACTGCTTTCGACTTTCCTTAATTAAAGCTCACTCACTTCTAAGAGACCTCATGTCGCACACACAGCACACGGTAGGAGTGAGACCTGCAGTGACGCCGGCACTCACTGAGCGAGCCCGGGCCGACCACAGCTTCCGGCGCGGAGACCGGCAGACCGCCGCGGACCTCGGACCTCGTCACAGTCCTTACCCGGCTGCTCACCGAGGGCCGGTCTGGGCCTCTGAGCGGTGGAGCTCTGACCCAACAGGATTAGAGCCCTTACAAGAAGAGATGCCAGGCGGCTTAAGTCCAACTGCTGCCTGGGCACAGAGAGAGGGCTACGTGAGGCCTTCAGACCCAGGGAGCCGGCGGCGTCAGGTCAATCAGCTGCAGCCTCGGCCTTGGCCTTCTCAGCCTGCAGAACCGCGGGAAATTTAACTTCTGTCATTCAAACTACGCAGCCTGTGGCCCTGTGCGAGGAAGGCAGGCCGCCTAGCAGGGCCAGCCGAGGCGCAGGCTCGGACAGCGAGCTAGAGGCTGGGGGCGCGCCTCCCCAGTCGGTGCCCCAGTGCCTAGCACAGCTGGCGCACACTGAACGAGCGCCACAGGCTGCACCCTCATCTCCGCATCGCTGACTGGTCATTTCAAACTTCTAGAAGCCTAGCTTCTCTCATTTGTGAAGTAGGATCCAAGTCTTTTAACTAATTATAGATTAAGTACTCTATAGGGCAGATCAGCTAATATATAGTGAAATATCAAAGCACCTTAACATTTGGTACTCAATACATTTCTACCCACAATGATTTCTTTTCTTCTTTTCTTTTGAGCTAGGGACAGGGTCTTTGTTTAGCCTGGCCTCGAACTCACGGCAATCCTACTGCCTCAGCCTCCTGAGTGCTGGGATTACAGGCGTGTGACATCCAGCATATTTCTTGAGCGAAGAGAATGTTTAATAATAAACATTTAAAAGTATGAGAATAAAACGGCAACCATTTTTTTGGTTTGAGACAGGATCTTGCTATAAGTTCACAGTGGCCTTGAACTCACTATGTAGTCAAGGGTGGCTTCAAACTCGGGGCGATCCTGCCTCCGTGCCCCAAGTGCTGCTGGGGTGACAGGCGCGCACCACCACGCCTGGCTCCTAACACTGCAACATCCTGAGGCCAACTGAACAAGCAGGTGAGGAAGCGAAGGCATGAGTAACATCAGTTCGAGAGATATATCTTAAAGAAATAGAAGTATAGGGCTGGGGATTTAGCTCAGCGGCAAAAGCGCCTGCCTGGCAAGCACAAGGTCGTGAGTTCGGTTCCCGGTACCGGAGAAAAACAAAACAAAACAAAAAAACAAAACAAAACAAAAGAAATAGAAGTATAGTAAAAATTTAGGTGAAAAGGATATTCACATTAAGTATATATAAGGATGAAACATGGGTACCTGGTGTTCAACAAGGGAGAAGAGTTAAATAAGGGGATGTCTAGTTCAATGTATCAGACAACCGTTACAGCTCATGCTGTCAGAGGTTTCATGACTCTGGGGAGAATGGTGGCGGTGGAAGGTTAGATAAGGGAGATACAGAACTACTTACGACCGAATACCGTTTTGTTTCAAAGTCCTCCTGCCTCCTGAGCACTCCTACGCCTATCCGCCTAGTCATCTACAGGACGTGAACACATCCTTATCTTTGGGTAATGACATTATGGATAAAGTTTTCCTTTATCCCTCCCTGGATTTTCATTCATGACTATGACAGGTTTTATTTTTCAATTAAAATAATAATTTGGATTAAAAATTTTAAATTTAGCGGTAAAACTGAAGGTGGGGAGCATAGCTCAGAGGTGGGGTGTGTATAGAAGGACTTGGGCTCAATCTCCAGCACCACTAGAAAGAAAGAAAAAGAAAAAGGGCCGGGGATGTAGCTCAGTGGCACAGCGCCTGCCTGGCAAGCGCAAGGTACTGAGTTTGATTCCTGGTACCAAAAAAAAAAAGAAGAAGAAGAAAGAAAGAAAATAACGATGAAATTTCTCCCTTAAAGTTTCAGAGGTAAACTCTATGACATTACTATGACATATTTCCTTTCAGGCCTCTCTTGTATATACTATCTTTATAATAAAAAGTTACTAGAGCTGCATGCCTATGTCTGGTGATCTGAGCAACTACTTTGAAGACACCAATATATAATGTAACAACTGCTGTTAATTTCCTATCACCTTGTTTTGAAATTATCGTTTTTATTGTTTTAGTTTTGACTTTGTGTTTGCTTTTTTTCTTTTTAAAATAAAATTTTAAAAAAGTTACTTGAGTGTAAGTAGGCATGAAAAACTTCTAGATTAATCTCTCAGCTCTCTTCTGCCATCAGCTATGAAAATGTTACCTTGGAAAATTCTCTTTATTGCAGTCTGTAATAAAATTTTAAGATGACGTGTGTGCGTGTGTGTGTGTGTGTGTGTGACAGAGAGAGAGAAATCCATTATTTACAAAGAACAACCACGGAAGGAGGATTTGCCTCTCAGGGTGTAAGCGTCTGCCCTCCCACACGGCCTGTGTGTCACCTGTGGGTCTCAGGTACCATCCAGACCCTCATTCTTACTCAGAAATGGGTGACTTTCTCAGAAAAGTGCTGTTTTAGAATATAAAAGTCCCAAACCAAAGTTCCAATCTTGATCCCCTGGCAGTTTTAAGAATGAACGACTTCCGGGCGGGAAGGAGAGGTAAACTGTGAGGACACAATACTCACCTGTGACGGAGAACACAACTGAACTCAGAAATACAGGCAGCAAGGAAACATCTTGGAAAAACGAATGCGTGGGGCCAGGGATATAGCCAGGGAAGCGCAAGGTCCTGAGTTCAATTCTCGGTACAAAAAAAACAAAACAAAAAAGAAAAGAAAAACGAATGCGTGTTCTGGTAACTGTGTGCGAGGCAGTGTGAACCAGAGGAGCTGCGCGTCAGTGGGCTCCCGTGTGCGCCTTTCTGTGAGCCCCAGGGAAAGAGGGCACACGGACAGGAGTTCCTGCCGACAGGGACGAAATGGTCCAGTGAGACCGTGGGTGTTCACCGCCTGGCGCGGTGTCGGGGTGGCACTGCCAGGGTGGGTGGCCAGTCCCAGCACGGCACTGCTCTTCCCGCAAATGCAAACATACCATCGAGCTACTGGCTGCATCGCGCACAGAATCTTTCATTTCCTGCCTGTGTCTTAGTTACTGTAACAATCACAAGCTTTAAAAATAGTTTGCCCTATATAATACAGCAGACAGCGCCCAATCTGTCTTGGGCCTGGTGCCCTCACATACGAGACTTTGGCAGACTGCATTTTAATTTTCTCGAGAGAATTAGATCTTCAAAATAAATGAATTGTGGTGCCTTTATTTATGTCTAAACTTCTGAGCAGGAATGTAACAGTGATCTGTAAGGTTATTTAACTGCTAAGTAACCACCAGCGGAGAAAACAGCCTGTCCACAGGAAGGGAGCTTGTCCCGGAGGGCCGGACGCTAACTACTCCTGCTCAGCAGCTCGGCTGGACACTTGCCGCGGGGCCGCCTGTCCGGCTGGGCTCCAGCTAGGCTCATGATTTAACTTCTGAGTCCTGCTGACCCCCAGAGGTCTGGTTTCACTGAAAATGAAACACCCTCTCCCAATCGGCTCGGTGCCAAATCTTGTTACAGGTTTGACTTCTCTTGAAACCCTGAAACCCTATCAGTTTTATCCCCGGTAGTCTCATGGCTACCGCGCCCTCCTCTAGCGTTTCGAGGCCCCTCTTCTCCTGGCCCACACCCTCTCCCGGGCGCTCGCTCTCCCGTCCCACTGCCCTTGCCCCAGCCTCCCTGCACCCCGTGCATGTGGCAAACCGCAGGGGCTGAATTTCGCAGCACAGCACACATACAGAGCGTCCCTGTGCAAACCTGCGGTCCCCTACTAGCCTAGCACTCGCCCGTCTTGAGTTGTTCCAGCCCGTGTTTAAACACGCACCCACGCTGAGGGCGCCAACCCCGGGAACAGCCGCAACCGCCCGACTTGCCATTCAAAGCCAACCTACCCGGCTCTGTTCCGCGCGGCTTCCCTTCACGTGCCCTTTACCGCAAACGAACAACCGCTCTGCTTTACGTGCCCCGAGAACTTCCTTCAGTTTGATTTTGCTCAGGGTTTTCTCGCCACTGAAGAGGTTTCCCTTGTTTCCAAGTACCTCAGTCTACCCGCTTCTGCATTCTCTGCTCTGACAGTTAACCCGAAGACCTTCCCGGTCAAACCGTACCCACCCCCAGCCTCCTGCTGGCCTCACTTTGATTTATGGCTCCGACGGGACCCGTCGCATTTTATCTGTAAATTTATTCCACACCCCGCATACTGTCTTTAACTATGGATGACACTCCTTCCGCTAGATCACAGTCTAGTAGACTTCGAGGCAGTGTTCATGTCTGACTCAACTTTTTATTTTTTTATTTTTATTTTATTTTATTTTTTGTCTTTTTGAGATGGTCTCTCTATGCAGTTCAGGCTGGCCTTGGGCTCACTTTGTAGCCCAGGCTGGTCTTGAACTTGCAGCAATTCTCCTGCCTCAGCCTCCCGAGTGCTGGGATTATAGACATGAGCCACCCTGCCTGGCTTTGACTCATCTTTCTAGGACCTAAAGAAGATTAAGACAGTAAACCCATACTTCTTGCATATCTAAAACCTGCCGTCACCTCACACACATTACAATTAACCCTCACAGCAGCCTGTCACAGCTGGTCTTCTCGGTTCACACAAGAGAAAACAGAGGTTCCCAGAGGTTGAGGTTGATCACCCTGCCCAGGCTCACAGTTGCAGCAAACCCCAAAGCCCCATTCTTCTACCACTCCCTGCTGCCCCAGACTCCTGTGTAACACTGGATGCTAAGGATGTGTCACCCACTCTAGGATGGAAGTAACACCCACTGAGTGAGAGAAGCTGGCATCTGCCATAGCCTAAAGCCAGCTCTGTGGGGTACAATAAAAATGACTCCTCCGAGCATGTCCAGATGGGACGCACAGAAGATATTTAACTGACCCAAAAGACAGCCCTCATTTTATATCTACAGTGTTTTCAGCAGAAGTCAATAATAACAAATACAAAGCCCAATTTAGTGCAGCAGGTAACAGTTGTTTTCAGAGCTACAATTTATATAAAAAAAGGTAAACCCAAGTCCTCGTGAGGGAATAGAAGCTTGAAAGAGAAGAACTGGATAAGGAAGGAGAAAGAAGAGGGCTGTTGAAGTACACATGTACGGTCTTGACCAGCTCTGTACGTAACTGTCGTAATGATGACACACGGGTGAGAGCTTAGTTCTGGGCACTTTCCTTAGATTCCTCCCCACAAAAACAATATCCCTGACCGACTTGAGGAAACAGTAGAGTTTAACAAAGCCAAAGCACAGAATCGAACCGGCCACACTGCACAATGTCTCTCAGACACGTCCGCCTGTACCTTTGGAGTGTCGACGCACTCTTCTTCCATGAACGCGGCTTCGGCCTGGCAGCCAGATGCTGGAAATGGAAAGGCCTCCACATTGGATGCCTGGGCCAGGAGGGCGGACCGCATCAGTCTCATGTTTGGTGAATGCACGGTCACCGGGAGTGCCACAGTTTGTGCCTGCAAATATGGCGAGAACAGACAGCACGGCACTGTTAATAACTTCTCTACAACACACACGATTTTCAAAGTGAAAGAATCTTCCTGGGGCAATTAAAAGATAGAGTTACTTATTAGAAACTCCAGAAAAGATCTGATGAGATGCATATAAAGTATAGGTATTGATTTGATGCAGGCTCAGCCATCAAGATATTTTGAACAGCACTTGGGAGGCTGAGGCAGGAGGATCGTTGCAAGTTTGAGACCAGCCTGGACTACAAAGTGAGCTCCAGGCCAGCCTGAAATGCATAGCGAGACCCTGTCTGTCTCAAAAAAAGACAAAAAAAAAAAAAAAAAAAAAAAAAAAAAAAAAAAAAGAAAAAAAAAAGGTATTTTGAAATAGGTTGTTGCAATTTTGTTCCTGTCCTAGGATGGGAAGCATGATTTTCACACAGGTGGCAAGAAAGCTAGTCACTGTAAGAATGGACTTGTTTTAACAAACATATCCTTTTCTTTAAACATACTACCTGGAAAGAGGTAAAGGGGCACATAAACGTCCCTGCCTACAGAAGCTCAACTCTGAATGGGACAGATGGACGTACATACACACCTGCACGACAGGCTGCGACACCAGGCAGGGTGAAGTACGTGTATGCTGGCTCTCTCTCTAAGGGGTGAGAGGGAATCTAGTTATTTCTTGGCAAGGGCGTGTACGAGCAGCGAAAGAGCAGCAACAGTTACTTAAAGGTGACAGCAACGCTCTTCCTGTGAGGAGACACACAGCTCGGCAAGTGCTGGCCCCGTGGAAGGAGAGGCTTCCTGACGCTTCAGTTCACCTAGCACAGAAAGCTCCCGCTGGGCTTAAGGCCCCTCTCTTGTCTCCTTGGCTGACTATTCTAAATAAGCATTACAAACTCTCCCTTTAAAAAAGTTATCTGAAAGAGAAACCTCCTCATGAATTGGTTAGGATTGATTTTTCATGAAGCCACTGTCGATCCTTTTATCCTCAACCCTTCAAAACTAGAAGAATAATTTATTAGATGTGGTTCGGATGTGACAGGCATCAAAAAACATCTGAGGGAACAGCCATCAGACCCGACTGTTAACAGAGGAACGGCCTACCTTTTCCCTACTGCTGTCACTTCAGGGGATGACAGTGGTGAGTTTTAAATATAAACAAAAGGGAAAAATCGGCATAAGATTCTAGCTTCTCTAAGACCTGACTTTGGTTTCTGACTCCATCGCTTACTAAGTCTGTGACTTTAATCAAGCTACCTAGCTTCTCTTAATCGTATCTTATTCACCCATGAGAAAGGGCGCCGAGCGCTGGGCACAGGGCACTTGCCGAGCACGCACAGGCTCGGGGTCGGTTCCCCAGAACTGAAAACCAAGGGGATAACGCCACTTTACAGTGGGGATCGTAACAGTAACACACGAAGTCCTGAGCTCAGCAGTGTTCATGCCTCTCTTTTTCCAAAGTCCTAATAAGAACACAGACTGCAAGATGGACACTGTCTTATTCTCAGCTGTTTTTTAATGGTTCCCTGTAAGAATTTCAAGCTTGTAACTATCACACCAAAACCAATGGGATATAAGGACAGCATTACTCAGAGGGAAATTTAGAGCTGTAAGTTACACACAAAAATCACAAGATGAAGCCAAGTAAGTGATCTAATGCTGCATCTGAAGGTTCTAGAAAGACAAGAACAATCCAAATGTGAAACCGTTAGAAGGAAAGACATGATACAGATCAGCATGAAAATGAATGAAATTGAGACTAAAAACCAGTACAAAGGGTCAGTGAAGCAACGAGCTGGTCCTGTGGCAAGATGGGAAGCGGGTCTGGGAGCGCGGGGGAGGCGGGGAGGCAGGGGGAAGGAGGGCGGCATGTCGTGTGCCCCTGCTGCTCCTCCACGAGGAGTCTATTTAATACACACTACAAACACATACTCATCAGAAACTGAGAAAAAAGAAAAATACGTAAAATTTAAATTCTGAAAGATTCAGGCTGGGGATGTAGCTCAGCGGCACAGCACCTGCCCGGCAAGCACGAAGTCCTAAGTTTGATTCCTGGTACCATGAATGAATGAATGAATGAATGAATGAATGAATAAATAAATAAATAAATAAAATCTTAAAGATTCTTTTTTTTTTCTTGGTACTGGGTATCAAACTCGGGACCTTGCTCTTGCCGGGCAGGCACCCGTGCCACTGAGCTATATTCCTAGTCTAAAGTGTAAATTTTCAAAAACAAAAGTTTATGGTTGTCAGAGTGGAAAATACGTTATTATACTTTATATGCAGACATATATATATAACATACATTACATCTGGTGTATGCCAACATTAATAGTGGATATACCACAGGAGACGAAGAGTGAGAAAACAACAGCAACCTGTCAGCATTATGTGGATGGTAAAAACAGAAGAAAATACTGCGCACGATTCTGAGTGTGACAAGAGCAGCCTTTCGCGCGCCTGCACACCGAGCCGCTTCTGCGAACACATGCCTTCTCCCTTTGCAGACACTGTGACTTAACTTCTCCGCTCACCGTGTCACAATGGAAAATTCAAACTTCCTAATGACATACATTTGGCACATCTTTCCTGCCCCCATCCCTAGCTTGTCAGTCAAAGGACAGAACTGAAGCTTGATTTCTATTCCCCAAATTTGCTAAAACTGCTCCTTGTCTATGAAAGTAAGGCAAGCAGTACCCAAAGATAATGCACCGGAAGTGCTAACTGTGCCTCGTGATAACTATGACGTGCTCCCCTTCTCAGTCTGCTCCTGTTGCTCCAGGTCTTCAAATGGCAGCACTGGGCTGTGTCAGGCCCAAAGTAGCACCTCTTCCTTGACAACTTTTATATCCTACCCGGACTACGACAATGACCGACCCTGACCTTAGTAAGGGCAGAGGAGAAACACTTGTTATGACGCTCACTTCCCACGAAGCAGGAAGGTGGGTTTTGAGTCTGTTTTATAGCAGCCTTGCAGTCTCCGAGAGGACGAGGGAAGTCTCCCTGGGGCTAGGGATGTAGCTCAGCACTAGTGTTTGCCACACACGCGCAAGGCCCTAGTCCCGCCGTGGAAAGTACGTATTGCTATTTCCGTTGTATACTTAAAGACACAGAAGTTCAGACATGCTGATTTGAGCAGTCACTCATCTCCATATGGAACTTGTGGTCTACATGATTCTACAATTCATGAGCCCTTTGTATGAGATCACACTGTTCAATTTGCTACATCATGTAACAAGTGATCTGCCCCTTCTTTAAAAAAATCAGAATATCAAAGAATAAAAGGAAGCAGGCTGTATTAAAACTTTAAGCATATATACAGAGTCCACCAAAAAATCTGTACACACCCTTCAGGAAAAGAAAAACATATTAGGTGCACATTTTCCTAACTTAACACCTTCAGACTTTTATCTATGGGAACCCTAAAGGATGTAGTGTCTCACAGAAAACTCACTACACTGCCAGCCCTTAGAGAACAAACTGAAAATGCACATGCAGCAATCTCAGCGACCAAGGTTACCCAAGCACAGCTCATCATACTAATGAATGTCTGGAAGCAAAGGGCCACCACTTTGAGCACCTCTTGTAACTGCAGAGGCCAAAGGTAACTGTGTTAATCTCATGATGTCTCAGTGGATTTATTTACTTATCTATTTATTTGGTACTGGGAATCGAACTCAGGACCTTGCACTTGCCAGGCAGGTGCTTGTGCTGCTGAGCTATATCCCTCGCTCTGTAAATTTAGTATTGAAATATTTATATATTTTTTTCCCCTGAAGTTGTATACATTTTTTGGTTCACTTTCTCTCTCTCTCTCTCTCCATAAACCATAGAAATCTATTTTTTACAAGTTCCATACTGGAAGACAGAATGTACTCTGGAAGGAAGGGTGCATCTTCTCTAGTCACAGTGCCTACTGCTCAGCCCCCAGAAGGCACGCAGGACAAGCTGCTGGATGCGTCCTGGAAGACACATGTGAAGTGACAGTAAGTAGGCTGCTGTTATGATTTGGGCTGATGCATAAAGTGAAGAGAACTCGTGGTGTGTTTGTAATAAAAACCAAAGCTAACAATTGTTAGGAAACCATGTTATATATCTGAACCTCAATCCAAATTAAACACAAATTTGAGTTCTCTGAGGGAATCTGCTTGAAGCTCCAGGGAATCTGCTGCAAGTCTAGATAGGAGAGGGTACGACGTACGGTAACAATAACGCATGCACTAACGGACAGGAAAGGAATCGCACATGCACGTGCTCGGGAACAATGGTTTTGTGCCCCGTGCTGCTCCCTCTAGCGTGTGGTGTTTGCGGGAAAAGAACCTTGGCAGGGACGCTTGCTACCGCACCGGGGTGCTGCTGTTTCCTCCCCCTCTGTCCTGCCGTCTGCTAGCGGGAGGGAGCACCTCTCCTCTGCCTATTACTACCCATGCTGAGGGTGTCTCATTTTCTCTCCTAGTCCCTCTGCAATACAATTCAACTTTGAAGGCTTCTGAGTGGTCAGAGAAACTCTAACCCAAATACCTGGAAGTGTAATACGTTGTTTTATTCATGTTTGCATCAGTACATTTTTTACATAAAGTATATCAACAAAATATATAATTTTACATGCTCTGTAGAAACCAATGCAAACGTTTCTTTTTTGGTACCAGGAATCGAACTCAGGACCTTGAGCTTGCTAGGCAGGTGGAGTGCCCCAAACTTTCTTATAAGCCTATAGATTTTATAAAATTGCAAAGAAATACAAAGTCAAAATTCTTCTGCTCTTGATTTTACCTTGAGCAAAGAAAGCTGCTTGCAGAAGTGGAGAGGAACCCTAATATAGCACACAAACCAACCACCCTTCTCAACTGCTACGAAGATGACTGCCCAGATCTCTCCAGCCCCAGCCTGTCTCCTGGGATCCAGGTCCACGTCCACAGCCTATTCACTGAGTTAATGCTGTCCCTGTTGCCTCAGGCCTGAGCTCCAGGACACAGGCCTCTCTAACTCCCTGTCGTCCCCTTTTCCTCAACACTGATTTGTTACTTTACATAACAGTCACTTACATAACCCTTACTATATGCCAGAGACTGTTCTTCATGTGTCCCAATATTAGCTAATTTTATTGTCATGACATTCTTAGTATTATCTCCGCTTTGTACTTACGAAACTTAGACACAGAAGATATTTCACGAAAAAAAATATTTTTGACAGCACTGGGGACTGAACCCAGAGCCCTGCACAGGCTAGGCAAGTTGTGTATCACTAAGTTAGTCCTTTCTCCATTTTTTACTTTGAGACAGTGTCTTGGTACAGGCGTGTGCCACTCTGCCTGGCTCTTATGAAACCTTCCTAAAGTCACAGCAAGACATGGCAAAGGCCTGGGATTTGCTCCAGAGTCTCCACTTGTAACCACCACGTGGAGCTGCCTCTCCAAGGCACTGCTAAGTTCGTCCGGGTCCATCCCTGACCGGTCCTCCCCCTTGCCCTTTCCTTTTTATTTCTACTAGCACAATATCAGTTTAAGTCATCCGTGTTCCTCAGCTCAGCCACTACAGTCTCCTAATTGCTCTCCAAATTTCCTCTCCTCCCTATTCAGACTACATTTTCAATGCTCTCAGATTAATTAGCTTAAGGAATGGGTATAATTCTATCACTTTTCTGCCTAACAGCCATCAGCAGTTTCTTATTGCTTCCTAAATTCTAAGTAAACCCTCCGCCTTGGCTTTCAGAGCTCTTCACAATATGGCTTCAACTTACTACTCCAACTTTTTATTTGCTTCAGTTCAAGTGGATTAACTGGAGTGAACCTTACAACTGAGCGCACGAGTGCTTTTGCTCATCTCCTGCTGCTTCTTCTGCCTTTCTAGAATGCCCTGCAGGTCTGCCTCTCCCTAACAACTCCCAGACATCTGTGAAGTTCTGTCTTACACCCACCTCTCCTATGAAGTCCTTCCCGTCCAGACGTGCCCATTTTGTCCTTAGCTCATCTGCGGCACTCACCTGTCTCTACCCCAGTGATTACTGACGGGCTTGTCTGATTTGGTTTCCGTAGTGTAATATGTCTGAGGGCAGCAACTGCGCTCTACGCTAACTCCTCCAGCACCTCCTAACAAAGCTCGCACACGGTAAATCTGCAGCAAAATTTTGAATGAGAACTGAACGTACAGGCTAGTTACATTAATTCTCAACATGAGCAAATGATTAAAAAATGAAATATTTCTTAAAAAACCTATATGCAATAAAGTTAATTTTTAAAAATATGAAGGTGCTAAAACATTTGGGAATCTAGTGAAGGATCAAGGTGGAAACTTTCCAGAAAAGAAGCATGTGGATGAAGCCCTGACTCTTTGTACTTCAGGATGAAAAATGTGTCAAACGTGAGCAGCACAGGCACAGAGAGACTACCGGCTAATGGGGTGTTACCTTGGCAACTGTTTGTTCAGCAATGGTGCTAGGCCTACGCTGGCGGCCGTCAAGTCTCTGCTCCACGGGAAAACTGCTCCTATGTGATTTCAGGCGCTCCACCAACAGGAAATAAATGGCAGCAAAGTGGTTATAGCTCTTGTTTTGCAAAGACTGAAAGAGAAAACAAGTGGTGAAGGCGCAGAACTACACAAATCAGCCCAGCGATCTATCCCTTTCTAAAAGGGGGGGGGGGAATCACGCGTTCTTTAAAATAAAGCAGCACAGTAATGCCTCAGAATGAAATCTATTTAGGATCTAGCATGGAAGGCAGAAAACTGCAAATTTCTGTACGTATTGGTTATGTTACGGGTAACACCTTCAAACGATTTCCTGGGCCCCTTTACGTGGCAGGGATCCACTTATATTTTTCTGCAGTGAGAGAAAATGCCACCATTTTCTTAAGGAGCTATTCCTAAGGCTGCCATACGGTCCCTCCTTGTAGTGAAAACTACGGTGTAAGGTCAGTTAGCCCTGTTGCAGAAGTACTAATTCTTTAACTCAAGTCCAAAATCATTGAAGACTCTGAGGTGAATGATTAAAGCCTTTGGGGAACTTTATGGTGATTATTCTGGGCTAGGGAGCAACATTTGGATACGAGATTGAAAGACACTGTGTCTCTGTTCTTAGGTAATTTTTTCCTCTTGTTTTTGCAGTCCCACCCTTTGAAACCTTGAAAATAAAAGTTGTTTCCCAAATTTTCACATCTCTAGCTTGCCAGCTTTCTCAGGATGCTAATACAGCAGAGAAACAACTGCTCCTTTGCTGTCTAATTCTAGTTGCCAGTCTGCACGGGGGCTGTGCTGGGCGCCGTGGCCACGCGGCACTCTGCGAAGACCGCAGGCCAGTGGCACTGCGCAGGGCTGCCGCTCTGGGCCTACTTCGTGGACAAGCACAGAAAAATATGACTGGGCACACCATGAGAAAAGCAGGCGAGCCAGTTTGGCTTTGCTTATTGCTACAGCAGGGGACAAGGTAGCACAGCTGGAAGCTTCACCCTTCACACCCAAAAGGGATATTGGATATTTCTTTTTGTTATGCTTCCTCCTTAAAAGACATATATCCATTTTCCCTTTTTTGATCCTCTGCAGACTCTGCCCTTGAACTCCTGGCAGAGGGAGAAAATAAGGAATTCAGATATAAAGGCGAATGTGCGGAGAATCTGCCGCAGCTGTTGGGAGCACTGAACCGTGTGCTTTGATGCTGGAGACAGATGTGCCAGGACAACGAAGCGAGCACCGAGCTTCAGGTTAGCAAGCACACACCAGTCCTGCAGCATCTTTGGTCAAATCTAAGGTCACTTTACCTCAATGGTTTTCTGCTGATCTATTCCGAGGCTGTGCATCAATCGCAGAACCTGCTCATTGAATTCCCCAAGGGAGGGCTCGTTTTCTTGCTCTTGGGGATAGAGGACAGGTCTCTGTACAGGAACTTCTATGAGCATCCACTTGTGCTCCTTGATTTGAGCTATGGTTAGCCGTTTCGATGGGTCTAGGACCAACATCCTCCGAATGAGGTGCTCACAGTCTACGGAAAGCACAACGTTACAAGTCACATAAATCACTCCACACTTTCGGCTTATCTGCTTGACTTGCGTGACTCTGTACAATGACATTAATCTTTGTATCCTTCATTGCAAAGTAGAAAGTCAAATGAATAAATAATCAGAAAGATACTTACAGGTGTCAAGTTCACAGCGTGAACAAATACTTAAAAAAACCCAGAAGGGTATAATCTGGCTAAGTGGGCCTTTCTACTGAATTTCTCAACTGAATTATCTAGTCATGGACTTAAAATTCCATTGAAGAAAAAATTAAGCTGCATTCAGAACAAACAAATAATAATTGGTCCTCAGTCTCATCTGAGGCTGATACACTACAGCTATGTGGCTGACGCAAAAAGCTCTCCGGCAGGCCACTGCTTTTCTCATCACCGCTGTGAGAAAACTGTCCCTGAAACGTGCTTTACTTCTGTCCGCTAAGAACATGGCGCTGCTGCCACTTGGAGCCCCAGCTGACTCTCTGAGCCGGCAGCATCTCTGTCTGCGTCACATTCACTTTAGCCAACCTTGTACTGCTCGCTGTAATCTGGCACTGTGCCCAGTGCTCCATACAGAGTGACTTCATGGTCACTACAATACCCCAAGGGCAGAAACTATTGTTATTTCCGTTTCACTTTATTTGTATTTTGTTATTTCTATTTTTTGATGAGGAATTGAAGCACAGAGAGGCGCTGTGATCTGCCAAAGCCACACAGTGGTGAAGTCAGGATGGAGACCAGCTAGTCCAGCTCCGCAGCCCAGGCTCTCAGCTACCAAGCGGGCTACTGCACTTCTGCTTTCAGTGGGAACAAAAGAGTTAGGACTAAAGCCAAACAGGTAGCTAAAGGGTAAGCCTCACTATGTAACCACTCAACACAAGATAGGCAGGGATGACGGCCTTTTAATTTAATTCACGGGAGTTCTGCCAGTTGGCTTTTCATTTAATTTAAAAAATTTTAAATTTTCTAAAATCCATCTCATACTTAGAGTAAAATGGTTGTGAGCCTGTATCTACGCAGTGTCTAAAATAAACCTGGGAGATTTAAGACCTAGAATAAATAGGAAGACTTGCTGGTCTTAATCCTGGAAACTTCTGTTCTTCGTTACAAGGAGGACGGCTGAAGTTTTCTTGTCTACAAGGAAGGGGCTGCTTATTTTTAGGGCTTTGAAACTGACTCAGTCATTTTACCTGGTCCCCAGACTCTCAGGAAAGGGAAAGCTTTGGCCTAGACATTTCTTTTGGAGCACAAGTTCTGTAAAGCACAATTAGTAAGATGAACAGGGGCTGGGGATTTAGCTCAGTGGCACAGCGCTTGCCTGGCAAGCACAAGGTCGTGAGTTCGATTCCCGGTACCGGAAAAAAAAAAAAAAAGTAAGACGAACAGCTCGTTACCTTCTGACATGAAATATGGAATCCGAAATCTTCCTTCCAAAACTCTCTGCCTCAAAATTGGAAGAGTTGGTCCATCAAAAGGCAGTGCGCCACAGACAAGAACATAAAGAACAACTCCCATGCTCTAGGGAGAGAACAGCGCAGTCACTTTCCAGGGAGAACTCCAAATATTTTTTTGTTTCTCTATAAACATCCCCAGGGCTCTTAAAATCATATGGACTGAAAAATCCCAGTCCAGATTTATTATTTTCTCAGAGTTTGGAAAAGGAAAAGCTGACACCCTGACTACTACAAGTATAATAAATACCAAATGATCTAGTCTGATCATTTTTCTTATTGTTTAACTTTAAATTATTGCTACTATCAGGGTAGTACACCTGTCCCTAGAAATTCTCTCGTAGGGATCCATTTCAATATGCTCTGACTGACTAGAGTCCAGCGGAGGGGGGACATGCAATGCTGTTTATGTGCTGAGCACCAGGAGCTTCTAGGATGGCTCAGAGTGCCAGCTCTTATCATTACAGATGCATTTAACATGGCAAAGCAAAGCAATACCCAAATATCCAGCTGTGGTCCTTCATACTGCTGCCCTTCAAAGACTTCTGGGGCTGCATAAGGGGGGCTGCCACACCATGTTGCCAGCAGTTCACCAGTTTTAAAGAAATTTCCAAAACCGAAATCTATTGGGATGGAAATAAATGTTACTTTCATCTATGCTCTCAAACTACACTGCATTTCTCTGTAATAAATTTTATACTATGCCATATTAACAGTGCGGGCTGGGATGATGTCTGTGTTGTGATATTTCCCTAGCAATCAGCACGATGGCCATCAAGTAGTTAAATCGTCAACAAGTACTGCTGAAGGGATACACACCAGATGAGGTTTCTTTCCAAAGAGAGCGGAGGAGAGACCGGAAGATGATTTTAAACCATGTATTTTTAAGGCTAACGGAATATCCATTGGTGTGGACAACCACTGTGAATTTGATAATCATAGAAATTCAATTATTTGATGGTTGATAAAGAAGCAAATGAATAACACACAAATTAGTGGCTGGCTTCTCTTAGAGCCATTTCCCCAAGGTAGCAAGATATGTAATGTTAAAAATTATTCTTTAAATTTTTGCAGTACTGGGGGTTGAACCCAGGTCTTTGTATTGAGCTCTTTATTTTTATTTTAAAACATAGTCATGGTAAGTTACTAAGTTGCCCAGGCTGGGCTCCAACCTGTGGTCCTCTTGCCTCAGCCTCCCAAAGTGCTCGGATTCCAGGTATGCAACACCAAGCCTGGCTGATATAGTCTCTTAAGGCAAATGAGTACAGAGTTTACCAAGTAACAGTCCCCCCCCCCCCGCGTACCGGGAATCGAACTCATGACCTCGTGCTTGCCAGACAAGCGCTGTGCCACTGAGCTAAATCCCCAGCCCCAAGTAACAATTCTCTAAGTGACTTCCCATCCTATTTTAGGCAGAGGCTCTTCTGAACAGCTCATTATCATATAAAGGCAACACAGGCCACCTATCACTATGTCACTCATTCACTCACTTCTGGAACGCAGTGCCATTATATTTCAAGACAGTTAACAGCCTTCTCCTTGTAACCTTAGTTGTATTACATCATAGCTTCGCTATTCAGTAGAGCTCTGAAAACACTGCACTCTAATGCCTTCAATATGCACAAGAAATTCAGTGAGCTTTGGTATAAACCCAAGTTTATTCTTCTACTAAGCCTCTGTGTAGTCTCTGACTCTTACTGAAGAAACAAATTCCCATTTGTGTGTAAGTTATTCTCCTCCTGTCTTACGTTGTTATATGTCGTCTCGGGAAGGTCTGGCAGGACTGGCTCTCCACGCAGCTGCTGCAGTGCTGCATGTCTGGGGCAGCTCTGAGAGATGAACCCCAAAGGGGACCAGTTCAGTCTCCATGGCCAGTCTGACTGGCGCTGGGACTCCATCTGTAAAGAGGCAATAGTACCTGTGCTATGCAGCAGGTTACCGTGAGGCTCCAGTGCATTAATGTGAGCTCCTACTTGGTGCACACACTGAGACCATGCGCGCATCACTTCCTCGGGCCAGATATTCCCTCTGCTCGCTGACACAGAAACTGGTGACGAGTAGCTTCCGCGAGAGAGGGAGAACCAGAGTTGACTGTTGGTTTTGCTGCTTTCCAACTTCAAGTCTCCTGGGAAAGTTATTTAACTTCCTTAGCTTCCGTATCTGTATCTGTGGGCATAATCCACCTACCCAAGTAGGATGCTGCCAGGACTAAGTGACATCAAGCGTGTAACATGCCTGGGGCACACACGTGAAATGTCAATGCTCCCTGCGAAAACCTCACCAACCGCCTGCCAGAGATCATGGTCCTGAGAAAATACACAAGAGGGCCGGGAAAAGTGCAGTGGGAGCTTAAGGCTTCTGAGATAAAAGACGGGGCATTTGGGGGAAGGGCCTTAGCCACAGGCTCAGGCTGGGGGACCACACTGTGGCGTGCGTGGAGAGGCCGCCTGAGAGAGGTGGGTGTCCGTGCTTCCCCGTGTCACCTCGGTTCTGGCTCACGCATCACCTTCCAACGTGAGTGTCAGCAGCGTCAGAAAGACCTTAGCTTCTCTCTTCAGCCTCTACGATCAGCCACTCCCTTACCTTAGAAACCTCACATGCACACAGAGGCAGAGGTTTCTGTTTTCTAAGAAGTCACATTGCTAAATGAGTCAACCACTCTATGTCCTGATCTGGTTTAGAGGGAAAGGTTAATTTTGCTCACTAGGAAAAGCACAAGAAGCTCTGGGGTGTTTACAGATCCTGGAAGAGGTACAATAATGGCTAAACTTTAAACCATAACCACAGGATGAGTCTGAGAGACGTAAGCTGAATACATGTATTAACATCTGTGCTAGTATATGGAAGATACCCGCCAAACGCCTCTGTAAGGTGTCAACGTCCCCAAGAACCCTTACAGAACTACTTCATTCTTAACCTCCCACACCCTGGCAAAATGAGCTCCGAAGAGTGGCCGGGGTACAGGACTGTCCCCAAGGCAGCCTGGCCACGGCGGTGGGGGCTCCCTACTGCAGGTGCACTTCACGGCAAGGGGGCAGGGGCGAGGAAAGCCGGCTGTGGCCGTGGAGTCCAGTTTCAATCTTGGCTTTGCGAAGCTTGAACAAAGAAGCCTCCTGCTTACTCATGAGAAAGGTGGCACTAAGCAGCCTTGCAATTCTCTTTTCCGCGTGTCACTGAGGAAAACAGGAACTTGAGTTTGGAGGGACATTAAGCAAGCACTGAAATCGCCCAGGCTCACCAAGCTATTGCAGCGTCACATAAGCAGGCGCTGTCTATAACCGTGTCAGAGAGCTTCAAACACTTAGTCATCGCCTGATGAAAGGGGTAAGGAAGGCTCTGAAGTCAAGACAGCTGGGACCAAATCCTGGGTCTGACACGTGGACACGTGATCTTGGGCAAATTACTTCACTTCTCAGAGTCTTGGTTTCTTTATTCGCAAAGGAAATGCAGCTTACCAAGTTCTAAGTATTGATATAAGCAGAAAAATACATAATGCTGTTGAAACATGGTAGGCGCTCAGTAAATGGGACCAACTGTTGCTAATTACAGTTATTGCCACCGTCATTATATTTACCTGCCTTCCCTATCTGACTGAATTCCTTGAGCAGGGGAAGAATGGAGTCCACAGACACGTCTGCAGACAGGAGCTGCTCCATCAGGACTGCTGCCTGAGTCATTCTCATCCTCTCGCTTTCCCTCTGTCTCCCCCATTTAACCCAGGGCCTGCGTGTGCTCTACCACCTACCTCTCCACACCCACTTCAAGTCCTCCTCTCCTGCAGAAGTGTTTTGCAGCTGCTGATCTATGCACTATGATCATTCTGTCTCCTTCTCCTGTGTCTTTTCCTTGTTCTTTTTCAGTACTGGAGAATGAACCCAGGGGTGCTCCACTGTGGAGCTACATGGACGCATTAAGTTGCCTAGCATGTCCTTGAGCTTGTGATCCTCCTGCTTAGCCTCCCAAGTAGCTGGGATTACAGGTGTGCGTCACCATGCCCCAGAAGATTTCTTCTGAACAACTCTGAGGATGTCTGACTTTGGAGGAAAGTGAAGACAGAACGTTAGATACCTTGCCAGAGATTATAGTTAGCTGAACCGGGGTAGGAAGTAAGTCTGACTACAAAGCCCTCCCTGTTAACCACCTCTTTTAAGTCCTTCCCTAGCACAGCAGTAACCATTTTTGAGAAAGTTAGTAATTGGCAAGTTTAAAAAGTGGCAGCGGAAAGGTACTTAAAAATAAAAGCCTTTGTATTTTTTCATAGGAATCTGGATAATTTTTTTTATTCAGTCTGTAGCTTTCTGCCAAAAGTATATAGTTAAGTAAGTGGCGAGGGAGGAGGACGAAAGGTGAAAATTCAGGATGTTTATCATCACTGTGTATTAAAATGGAATGGACTGTACCGGTGTTCCTGCAAGACACTGGTTCCCAAAGCCACAGATGCCAGTGTCCCTATGTAACAGGTGGCGCACTGGCCCACAACATGCACATCTCCTCCTGTGTACTTTAGAGCATCTCTCTATATGCAGCACCTAACACGGTGTAAAAGCTATAATGCACTAGCATAGTGTGGAAGGGTACGTTGGCAAGAAAAAAGTCTGTACTGCTTCAGTAGAGACACAGCTATGTACCAGGCCTAATGACATCAGCAAATGTTAGATTTTTGTTTTCTTTTTTCTTGTCTTTTTGAGACAGGGTCTCACTATGTAGTTCAGTCTGGCCTTGAGCTCACTTTGTAGCCCAGGCTGGTCTTGAACTCCCAACGATCCTCCTGCCTCAGCCTCCTGAGTGCTGGGGTTACAGGCGTGCACCACCACACCCAGCTAGATTCTGTTTTCTAAGTATTTTCCATACATGGTTGGTTGAATCCTAGTACACAGAATCCACAGATATAGAAAGTTGACTGTATTTGCATTTCATCATCTGACCAAATTAATTCATTCCTGCACTAAATACTGTATTTGAATGCCATACATCTGTTAATGACTGTAGAAACACAGAAAAGAGTCTTACAACACAGAATTAAAACAGACCTCACACCACCATCTGCCTTGGAAAGCGTTACGGAAACAATCACTTGCACCTTCCTCAGGTATGCCGGATGCAGACCTGCCTGGCCATGCTGGAAAGGAAACATCTCTCTGGTTTAATTCTCTCACCTGCAAGTTAATATCCAAACATATGACTACTATGCACACACAAGGCTTGCCATTTCTCTGTTGTAACACTTATGCCATGGAAGGTTAGATCCACTTTGTATTTTTTCACTTTTTACTTAGAAATACTTTGCAGAAGTTATAGGTGAGAATTGCCTTTTACCTACCTTCTGTTAATGTTAACCTTCTACATAACTACAGTACAATGATTTAACTAAGAAAGCAACACTGACTTAATACTATTAATAAGACACAAGCTTCACTATAATTTCATCAGATTTTCATCCCTTTCCGGGATTCCACAGTGCATTTAGTGTCATGCCACCTTGGTCTTCTCCAGGTTGTTACAATTTCTTAGTTTTTCCCTTGTTTTTCATTTTTCCCAAAAGAACTAATCATGTATTTTGTAGTACGGTGTCTCCCAAACTGAGTTTGTCTGGTGACTTGCCACGATTAGATCAAGGCTTCAG